GGGCTCCCTCATTGCCCACCCCAGACAGGGACCCGTGTCCCTTCAGCCTGACCGTGGCTCCCTCCAAGCAATGCCATGCCCATGCTCTCTGCCAGCTGCTGGTTCTCAACCTGCTTCCATGTTCCTCTGGTGCCATTTAGCTGAAAATCAAGTCTTCTCTAAGCAGGGAAACTCGGTTTTATAGTGTTGGTGTATGCTGGTTTATGAGATATTCATCTTGGTAAAACATGAACACTGCTATCTCTCAGGTCTGGGGAAAATCTGAATTCTGTGGCATTAGAGAAAGGGCTTTCTAAAATCTAAAATCTGAGATCATTTAAATTTTAAAGGTGGCAGTAGCACATTCAGTGCTGGGTCTTTTGTTGGTTTGGATTAACAGTGCTTTGTTTTCAAAGTCATGCAGAAAAATATTTTGCAAGGGATGTATTTATTTAAATATTTTTAATATCAGCAGTCAAAAATTCAAGTGTAAAAGGCTATGCAAAAACAGCAATAAAGTAATACAAAGCTATAAAAGCTTATGGTGAGAATTTAATGCAGAAACAGCTGTTATTTCCTTGGGAGTTGAGGTACATAAACTCTTTCGTGGCTGCATATCCCCACAATCGTGGTGTGAGGAATTAGCACTCACTGCAGTGTGCAAACGGAGCCCGCCAGGCTCTGAGGCAGCGATTCATCTGTACCCAGGAGCTAAATATGACAATGTTAGCATTTTTCATTTCCCTGACGTTACCATTAATAAAGCAATGATCCAAAAGAAGCTTTGCTGAGTCTGTTCTTTATGCTTCCATCACTCACGACTAGATAATTTCACACAGGATCGTTTTTAAATTAAATGACGATAAAAGCGCTCTGCTGTCCTGTGCTCACTAGTTCATAGAAGTCTATCAAGTCATTAATGTGTCGTGACAAACTGCGAGTTGCATACTAGAGTAATTAATTATTTGCATAAATAACAGGTTGAACTTGGTGCTTTGAACCGTAATGACACGTGCATCACATCATGGACATCCTGGAACCTCTGGCAGAGGTCACGGGAGGGTGAGGGCTGACCTGGCACTCAGGCAATCCCATCTTCATGTGCTTCCAGCGGGCAGGAGCTTGGAAGCTTTTGTGTTCCCAAGTTCTTCATTGATGGCTGCTTCAAGAGAGCATCTGATCTTTGGAGTTTCAGTGAACAATTATACAGATTTTCATAATCACCATTAATCACCACATATTTTTGCAAGATAATTACAGCAACTATTATTTAGATTTCTCTTTTATGTGCACATTGTAGAAAAGAACAAGTGCTTATTACACTGGGTAGAGAACTACAGTCTGAAGTTCTTTGTCATCCAGAAACTCATTATGTTAGCTGATGCTGCCTGTGAAAGTTCGTCAGCATGTTCAAATTAGGGTAGCATTGGCAGGTCTGATTATTTAAATCTGGTAGCTTTGCTAAAAATATAGTTATTCAAGAAAGATGAATTACTAATTTGACAACTGAGATTTAGTTGGAGTCTGCAGCACAGAAGGCAGAATCTCTTGAGTGCTTAGAGGAGGATGACAGTACTTTTTCAGATTAAAGGGAGAATTTCTAAGTGAGCTAACAAGTTGGATTTATAGACCATGCTTTGGTGTCCTCCCTGATAGAACCTTAGAGCAAATCTTGGTAAATTACTTAAAGTAGCCACCAGGTAGAAGTTGGTCCTGCACCGCCGAAGGGGCCCTCACTGAGGCATCCATCCACCTCCTGGCTGCTGTGGGGGATTCACAGGAACGCTGTCCTTCAGGGCTGGGCTTTAGGAGTGTGGTTATGGCTGCTGGCACCTTTCAACTCTTTATCTGATTTCAGTGCCTGAGCTTATCAGCTGTGACCCTCAGCGAGAAGCTGATCCTGGGAGGCAGCAAACAGCCATTGGAAAGAATTTTCCTTCTGAAATCCCATTTTATGTTGTTCCATTCTGAGGGAGAAGAGCTCAGGCACCTCCCTCACCTGTTGCAGGTGCTGTGGGTGTAGTGGCACAGGGAGAACTGCTGGGTTCAGCCCCTGGGTGGGGGGCCCCAGTGGGCAGGCATCCTGGCAGTGAGGCTTTGTGGGACAAGAGCAGCTTTGCCTGCCTGTGCAAACAATTATAATTTTTCTTCAGAAATATTTTAAAGTCACAACCTTTAAAGATGTTGAAACCTGTGCAGGTCATTGCAGGAGCTGTACAGCTGGGACCTCGCCCACTGTTCTTGTTTGAATCAGCACAGGTACCTTTGGAAAGAGCTGTGCTTTATCATTCACCAGAACCAGTTCCTTTATCCCCTGGTGTTGCCATCTGCTGGTCTCAAACGTGGTGCAGATTGACATGGAGGAGCCTGGAATAGCTTTTGGCCAGACTAAAGCAGCTCAGTGCCAGGGCCTGGTCTGTTAGTGGGGCACTCCCCATGGAGGTGGTGACACAGGGCAGGATCCCAACACAGTGCTTGCTCATCAGAGCCTGCCAGGAATGCTTTAAAGGCAAGAGGAGGAAAAAAAAAAGGAAAAAGGGAGGAATCAGAAGCTGATAATGATGTTTATTTACAGCACAACATCAGGACAAGGGACATGAAATTGAAATGCCCTCCTACAGTTCTGGTTTTATTAAATTTTATTATGAAATTAACTGCTGTAAACAGCAGTTGTGTGCTGCCTCATGGTGTGTGGCAGGAGCAGAGGCCCCAGTGCCCAGACCCCAGTGCTGGACACCCCAGTGCTGGACACCCCAGTGCTGGATACCCAGTGGGGCTCCAGCGTGGCCATGGGAGCTCTTTCCTGCTGTTGCTGGAGCTGCCTGGCCCTGGAGGTCATCATGACCATCCCTCTCCTGCAAGTCTCCATGAGCTGCTGTGGGAATTGGGCCTCAATTGAAATCCTCATGAATGTGAAAAAAACACCTTGGGCAGCAGCAGTGATGGGTGTCTCGTGCTGTGTGTGGGGCAGCAGGCAGTCCTTCCCCCAGAGCATTCACTTTGTCTGGGGCCTTTGCTCAGCCTGGGATCAGAGGTGAGGAGGAGTGCTGCTCCCCAAGCATCTCAGGGGCTCCCCACTGCCTGCCTGCAGCCCCTTGGGTGCCCAAAGGGCTCCAGGAGCCCGGCAGAGCTGTGGGGCGAAGCGGGGCCGTTGCCCTCCCAGCACTGGGGCAGGTAGAGGCAGCAGCCGCCTGGGGTCTTGTTTCTGTAGAGTTTCCAGAATTGGTGGCATTTAGACCCTCGTGACTCTGGTGCCTGGCTGTGAAAGGGGCCTGCTGAATGCACGCCTTGTTTTCTGCTTTCTGCCTTTAATGCATTTTAGCAGCAGGCTGGTGACGGGCCTGACACGCCGGCTCCGCGCACGCTCCTGCGCTCGGGGAGTGCAGCATTGATAACACACTTCCATGCATCATGCCATTTTTAAGCATGATCGTTATGATAAAGGGCATATACTTAATTACAGGCCTGCTTAATTACAGCTCTGTTGAAGCTCGTTTGTTTAGGAGAGTGCTAATTGCGCTGCTGAGCCTTTGGCTCACCCTGCTTTCATCTGCTGCTTCGCTCCCCAGTCCTGAGCTGGGGGCTGAGCGCGGGGCCGAGGGCTGGGGGAGGCTCTGGGGGCTGCAGGGATGCTCTCGCTCGTGGCTCAGCCTTTAGATTACTTTACAAAAGCTGGCGTGTGGCTGATCAAAGCAGGTTTCTGTCGGATAACAAATGCAGATGGTCTTCTAGGTTTAAAACTTCCTGGATTTGGTGATGCTGCTTTTCATCTGTTTCCTTTTGTTTCTCTTCATGCTGTGGCTGCCACACAGCACCTTTGATAACAAAATACTCCATTGGAGAGGGTTTTTAAATCAAAAATAGACAAAGCAAATGTAAAAAGCTAAGTATTCTTAAACGGTCCTTGTTAAATCACTAACCTGGTAACTAAGTGGTGCTGGTAGGAGTTACAAACAGCAAGCAGAGAGTGGGCACAGATCCTTTCTGAAAGGAAATCCTATTTGAGGATCACAGTGGGGCATTTCATAGCTTAAATTTGTGTTAATTTGAACTTTTTATTTGTTTCAGAGCTGAAATTTAAAGACTTCCAATGTTAGAGGTGTAAGTGTAATAAAGGGGGTGTATCTGGGGTGTATCTACCTTAGAAATATGCCCTTTTCAGTCTTGTGTGCAAATTGCTGAGTTACATGTTTTAAAAATAAGAGTCTCCCTTGTGCTGCCACATTTCTTGGCAGGCTCCCTATGATGTCTCCAAGGTGGTGATAGCAAGACACACTGAACATCGTTGCACTAAGATGAATATACAAGACAATAAAAAGGCAAACAGTGCTCTGAGTCCCATTAAGGTTGTGCTGCAGAGAGATCTGAAGGCAGTGACACGAGACTGTGCCATGTGCCGTCATGTCCTCATGTCTGTCCTTGTATTCCATTGGTTTCTGTCCTCCAGACGTGGTTTGCAAGTGTTTGAGCTCCGTTGCTCACTGCTGAGTTTGCACTGGCAGCAGCCAGGCCGGGGAGGGCACTTGGCCCCAGGTGTTTGTTGTCATCCTGCCCAGGTGGTAGCACTTACTGCCTGGTACACAGGTGGTGGTACTGACTGCTTTGGGGTACAAGTCCCCTGAACCAGCTGTTCCTTGTTCTCTTGCTCAGACACCACCCAGGGTGCTCAGCTGGTTCGGTGAAGAGGTGGTAAATAGATGTGTGTCCTCCTTCCAGTTTCAAATACTGTCCTGCTTTGGCAGCTGAACAAAATTGGAAAATGCAAAATTGACACCATGAAATTGTATATGGATAGAAGAGGGAGGATTCATTGGATTCCTGGTTTGGTAGGGACTGACCCAGCTATGTCTTAAATGGAAAGAAACCACTGGCAGGTTAGAGGGAAGGAAAGGCTGGCAGTAACATGTAGGAGCAGTCAGTCATGTGTCAGTGCTGTGAGTACTTGATCTGTCACTGGGAATGTGAGAAGTTGCATGTCAGAAATCAGCTGGAAATGTGACGTGATGTCTTGTCCCTTTCAGCAATGGATGGAGTGCCTTTTATGATTTCGGAGAAGTTTGCCTGTGCTCCTGAAGGGGTGAGTTGCCTTCATTGTTCTCCCAGTGTCTGAAATTCATTGTTTCATGGAAAGCGATCACAAAACATCAACAATATTACCTGCTTCTGGGAGCTTTTCTGTTGTGGGGCCAAACATGTACCCAGTGCTTGAGATGGGCCGAGGTTGCACATCACAATAGTTGCCCATTGGGTGGGAAGGGTTTTTGCCAGATCACTTCTAAAACTGAATTGTCCTGGGATTGGAAGATTTGTTGCCATCAGAAATAGGAATGGCAATGGGACTCCCTGGTGCTGGAAGCATTTCTAATTTCTTAGCATAGATTGTAAAGAAAGCTGCAGATGTGGAGTTCTGGATTTAACCTGCCATGGAGATGGCATAGTGCCATCAGCTTTACTACTTTCTGTTGGCACCCCAGAAGTTCAGGGCAGTGGTAGTGGCAGGGTGCACCCCAGTGCTGGCAGCTGTTGGAGGCTCCTGCCTGGCTGTGGGGCGAGCTGGAGAGGGCACTGAGTGCTGCCTGCTTGGCACCAGGCACTGCAGGGCCACACCAGCAGAGCATGGCAGAGCAAGGCAGAGCAGAAACCCTGGTGTGGGTTCAGAATGACATTTGAGTGTCACTGGGCCAGTACTTGTTAAAGTTTATGATCCAGAGCTCAAAGATCAGCATCCCACTACCAGTTCCTGAATCCATCCAATGCTAAACCAGTATCTCTTTAAAAATCAGTTTGCAAGAAGCTGTTAAACCATCAGCTGTGTCTGATTTTTCAGTAGCACTCTGGCTTTGTGCTTTCTTCTTCCTGCTGAGGGGGGGTTTTGCACAACCCTTGCTTTCTGAAAGGGTTGTTTATGGGCCGTTATTCCCAGAAAGATGGAGTCCCTGCTGCGAGGACAAATGCAGAGAGATTAGGTCGTGCTAATCCTCCCAGCGGATCCTTTAGACACCATTGCCACCATATGGTCAGTTTGGTCGAGGCTTCCCACAGCCGGTGCCTCTCACACCTCGCTGCTGCTGCCACAGAAGTCCATGGGGTGTTACAGACTGTGTCCTGCAGTGGGAGATGGTGGCAGATCTATCTCTGGCGTGGAGATGAGTGTCGGCTGTCCCGCTGAGGGAGAAAGGCATTGGAGCTGTCGGCCCCAACCTGCCGTCTGCTGCTTCGCTCTCCTGGTGCAGTGAGGAACAGGGCCATCCCTGTTTACAGATGGTGTCTCTAAGTCTCTGGTGATAGAGTGTTTGCTGACTTTAAACAAAACAAACCCAAAACAACAACCACCACCACCCACCTAAATTTGACGTATTTCTTTGTTGCCAGATGCAGCCAGTTGATCTCTTGGGCATCACAATCAAAACCCTTGCAGAAATCGAAAAGGAGGTAAGTAGTGCCATCCAGCACTGAGCAAGTCACAAAAGCTTTGTTTACTTAGCTGTAAGGTACCTTCCCTTATGGAAAAGGCTTCTCTTGTCTTTCCCAAATCACTGAGGGGGGATAAAGTCAAGCAGTAAGCTCAGGATCAGGGATGTCCTCTGTGATCCACTGAGTGAAGGCGCTTTAGGTGGTGCATCTAATGGCAAAGTTTGGGGCCCTCTGTTTAATTCCAGATGTCTGTTGGTTAACCTTTCTTACGAATTAACAACACATACTGCAGGCAGGAAGGTGCCTCTTGCATGTCAGGAAGGCAAATGGACTTGACTTAGCATTATCAGTGAACACCTTCATCAGTTTTCAGTTTGGTGATGCTGTTAAGTTGTTGTCAGGGGAACTGGGCTGCGTTTCAGTGGGTGTGAGTGTTTGAGGAGCTCTGGGAGGAGGCAGCCACCAAACTGAGGGTGGTCCCAAGGGACCATTCTGTCACATGGTGCTGAGGAGCTGCCTGCTCTGCAAAGGTGGCCTCGCAGACCAGGAAGAAATTTGTCTCAGCAGCACGTACTTCTTCAGGCACCATTGGTCACAAAGACCTTCTCCTGTGCCAGCCACCTGGGTTCAAGGCAGAGAGTAACAAGATGGCATCACAAAACTGCCAGACTGCTCAAAGTTTCTCCACTTTTTGATTCCAGTTGTGACTCCAATTGCCTAAATCGATCCTCTTCTGCCTGGAAGTTTTGTCTGAGTACAAGAAGAAGGTGATCAGCTGCCAGGGCTTTTGCAGGCACGCAGTGGGCCTGCAGTGGTGGCTCTGGAGATGCTGCCTGACAGGGGCAGTGGCTGACAGAAGCACCCATTGCCTCAGGTGCTGCGGTCCTGCCACATGGCACATGTGCTGTGCCTCTGCTCAGGACTGCCTGCATCTGTCAGGAGGAGCCCTGGGAGCCCGGTGTGCTCAGGGCTGGCAGCCCCTCTGTGTGCCTGCCTCCTTCCTCGCTCTTACTGGGAGCTGGCCAGGGAACAGATGGTCTTTTGGCCAGAGGGGAATCCAAGTGGTGCTGGATTTGCTTCTGCAGCATCTCTGTATGTTACCTGGTGTGGAAGAGGTCTGGCAGCTTGGGGGCTGCCTGGAGGGCTGGGCTGGGCTGTGCAGCCCTGCCTGTACCCTCACAGGCCTGTGGAGTGCAGGGACACCAGCATTGGAATCATTTGTGTGGGCCGGGGAAGAGAGGCTGATACCTGCTGGCTCTGCCACAGCTCCTGCTCCATCATAGGCTGTGTGCATTCCAGAGTAATGAAAAGTATGTTTATGCAACCCATATTCCTTGATGAAGCATCTTGTCTGTACATAGAGAGCTACACATATAAATATTGTGAATTTCAGCATGGCTTTATTTCCCTTGCAAGCAATAGCACCATTACAGCAAATCTTCTGGATTTCCAAAGCAGCCAGAACATTCTCCCCGGAGCAAGATGCCTTGCAAAAAATATTCCCAAAGAATTCCAAGAGTTATTGTTCTCTGTTGCCACATTTGCAGATGTATGCACCCATCCTCCAAGCTGCAGGCAGCTGAGTGACAGGACTCCACCCTGTCAGGAAAATGATGGAAATGGGCGCAAATCCTGGACTGCACCCAGGCTGCTCTCATTGCTCCAGGATAGCACAGCCATGCCCAGGGCATTGCATGGAGATCTGGAGTTGGAGTATGAAGAGGTGGTGAAGCACAGGTGTGAGCGGTGTGTGCTGTTGCTCGTGGCTGCTTTGGTGGGTGTAGGATGGACAGCAGAGGAGCAGAGCCCTGGCAGCGCTGCTGCCAGCTCTCCCTGCGGGGCTGTGGGGCTTTGTCCTCACTGTTCCTCCCTGTCCTGGCTAGGGGAGCATCCCCAAGCAGGCACTTGGGCAGGTGCAGGTGACAGCAAAGGTGTTGGCACTGTCACTGCGGCTCTGCAGTGCCCGTGGCTGTGGCAGAGAGGGCAGTGGTCCGGCCACTCATGGGGCACATCTCATCTTCCTTTGAGCTTGGTGTGGAGTAAAAAGTCTAGAGAGAGTCTAATTAGTAAAGCAAACATCCAATACTCATCATTCCTTTTAAACTGACAGGGAAAGCAGTTCGTTTAACCACTGAATTGCTACAAGTTATCATGGGCTGCTCTTCACAAATATATTTAATGAAGAAGTTGTAAATCTAGAAGAGCTTAAAATTTTAATTTTCCACAGCAATATTTTTTCTTGTTCGCATGTTTGTAGTCAATTCTCCAGAGTGCAGTCACATGAAATGTTCTTTAAATGAACATATTTGCTAACTGGCATGATTTCAGTTTTTAAAACATTGGTTCCAGCAATTAGGAGTTTCCTCAGTTCCCCAGTGACTGGAGAGATTCGTCTTGATTATAATTGCTCTTAGCCACGCATATCTAATTTGTGTCTTTTTAAGTGTTAATTAGTAAACAGTTTGAGCTGACATCTTTATGCGTTTGGGTGTTGAAAAATGACGCCTATTGCGAGCGGCGCAGGGCGGCGTCGCGACAGGGAGGTGCCGCCGGAGGGTGACGGGCACAGCCCCGGCACAGCCCCCAAGCCCCCGCACAGCCCCCTCACAGCCCCCTCACAACCCCCTCACAGCCCCCTCACAGCCCCCTTACCCCCCTCAGCCCCTCACAGCCCCCTCAGCCCCTCACAGCCCCCTCAGCCGCCCCGCCCGGGGCCGCCCCGTTCCCTCCCGGTGGCGCCGCCCGGCCCTGCTCGGCGCGAAGCCGCGGCGCCCCCTGCTGGCCCCGCGGCGCCCTGTCCGCCGGGATAAGCCCGGGATGGGCTCGGGATGACCCGGGATGGGCTCGGGATGGGCTCGGGATGAGCCCAGGATGGTCTCGGGATGGGCTCGGGATGAGCCCAGGATGGGCTCGGGATGGGCTCGGCGGGGCCAGTCCCGTGTGCTCGAGAGGAGCAGGACCCCCACAGCTCGGCGCTGCACTGGTGGTCTCCTGAGCTGGGATGGAGAGGAGGTGTCGGTGTTGGAGCAGAGGCAGCACAGCCCTGGTACAGCCCCGACACAATTGATATGGACCTGGCACAGCCCCAGCACAACTGGCACACTCCCAACACAGGCCTGACACAACCCCACCTTCTACTCAGGTGGTATAGACCTGGCACAGCCTTGCAGAATGGGAACAATCCCAGCTCGGCCATGACACAACTGGCAAAGCCCCAGCACAGCCACAGCCCAACCCCAGTACAACTGGCACAGATCTGGCACAGCCTCAGTATAACCTTGGCACAACTGGCACAACTCCAGCACAGGTGGCACAACCCCAGGCCAGGTGCCAGCACAGTTGCTGGTTCCCAGGGTCACCTTGCTGGCAATGTGTCTTGTGCCCTTGGCTGGCTGGCAAGGGGTGGTCCAAGGCCACAGGGAGATATGTTTGTGATGTTCCAGGGGCCACAAATGGGACACTGGGAGATGTGTGGGGGGCAGTCCCCACGTGAGGCCATTGCAGTGGGTGTGATGTGGTCACCGGCAGCTCCTGCCCCAGCAGCCCCCTCGGACGGCGCTGCTTTGACTGCCCACCCACTGTGGGTGGGCCACCGCCACCTCAGCCTCTCCTGGGGTGCCCTGGCAGGGGCCAGGGTGGCCCAGGGCCTGCAGGGTGCAGCCACAGCATGCCACGAGATGGCACTGCTACAGTGCACGCCAGGCACTGCAGCTCCTGGGCTCCGTGGCTGTGCAGGGCTGTCCCTCAGTTGCAGGGGTGTCCCTCGGCTGCAGTGACATTGTGGGGATGCAGGGATGTGTATATAGAAATTTTCACCCACCTTGTCAAACCAAAAATGTTAATTCTAGTGGTACTGGCTTGTGTATAAAACCTGCCAAGGGGGATCTTTCTGAGTAGCTACTTTATGTGCAGGATGAGTATGGTCATGTTTGTGTTAATGCTGGGTTTTAAGGGAGGGGGTAAATCCTACCTGGGGCGGTCACTGCTGTGGGGTCAGGTGATGCCAGCAGGCTCACCGGGCATGGCCCTGCCTGGGCCAGCTGCTGCCAGGCCCAGTTTTTACCACATTTTTCTGTTCCTTGTATTGTCCCACCCCAGGCATGAGCAGTGTGGCCGCATGGTCACATGCCCTGGCCTGGGCTGCATGGGTCGGTGCCCCAAGGTTCCCTCTCTCTGCTTTGCCCTGCAGTACGACTACAGCTTCCGGACGGAGCAGAGCGCGGCGGCCCGGCTGCCACCCAGCCCCACCCGCTGCCCGCCGGTCCCGCCATCCTGAGGGGCCATCGGCCAGAGCAGGCGCGTGTGTGCATACTACTGAGCGGGACACAGGACACAGGACACAGTGCTGGGACCGTCCTGGCACACCCCCGTGCACCCGGCCACCACCGCCGCCCTGCGCTGCACCACCCCCTGCACACGCCGCTCCACGCGTTGGGACCCCCTTCGGCAGCTGCACCCCCCACACTGCTCCAGACCCCTCTCCATGTGAGTACAGAACTGGGAGCCTTGGTCATCCCCACTTTGTACCCTGCTGCAGGACAGTCACAGAATCCAGAGCTGTAGCAAACCTTGCAAACACAGCTGGGAGCTCGCAGACCATCGGGAACTCTCAGCCCTAAAAGGAACAGTGAAAGGCACGGCTGGGTAACGCTGCCCACGCTGCCGTGGAGCTGGTCAGCTCTCGATGCCTTGCGGCAGGAGGTCCCTGTGGCGCACGGCCCAGTGGCAGCACTGAGCTGCAGCAGATGCCCCATCCCTCTGCCAAGGTCTGGGCACAGCAGTTCTGCCACAGCCAGGATCAGCCTCCCCCATACACCCACTATAGTCACTGGATTTGCTGTAGCTGGGGGAGCTGGGACCACTGGCTCATGCCTGTCTTGGACTCTCCCTGGGCACTGGCAGGGCAGGGCATGGCGGGCAGAGCGCCAAGGTGAAGCACCTCCGCTTTGCACAGGGTGTCCATGTGTCCATCCGGATCTAGACCAACAAACTCCTGTGTTTCTTTCCATCTGGATGCTGGCAGCACCACGCTGGCAGACCCCGGCAGCACCCTGCTGACCCGGCCAAGCTGCCTGTGGAGCCAGGACCCTGCTGACAACTGGGATGCCATCACCTGCCTGTCACTTGAGACAGTTCTCTAATGTGCCCCGCTAGCTGCTAAAATAAAAGAGATGTACCTGTTCCCTGGGCACTCCCAGGGAAGCACTGAACTCTGATGTGGCGCAGGATGAGAGTGGGATGCATTAAACCCTGACCTGAGCCCCCTGTGATCGCTGACCTGGGCTCACTCCTGAGCCAAACGCATGTCTTGGAGAAGTCTGTTGCTGTAATAAGTTATTTACAAGTGCCCATGTGACTCCATGCTGCTCTTTCAAGTCTCTGCTGTAAAACAAAGCTACATCATGGCAGCAAAATGGCAATTTTTGAGTAAGTGTTAAAACATACAATTTTTTATATTGTAAAATAGTGATTTCCTGACCCCACTGAAATGCAATTGCCATGGTAACAGTAACAATGTTGTCTCTCAGCCTGGGTCATATGTGTGCCCCGACCCACTTTGCACTGCCTTGGATTGATCTGGCATTTGCTAGTTGCACAGAATGGTGACTAACAGCAGGTTTTATACTGTCAGCTTCTATTTTTTATTTGTATATATGTAAAATATTTCTTGTCCAAAGATTCATTTCTGGTTTTAAGGCACCACACCGTACTGCTGGGATAATGAGCACAAAATACTGTAACATTCAAGACAAACTGAGTCCAGATCTTTGCTTCAGCTGCTTCCAATCAGGTAAATAATTTTCTGGAGCTGCCTCTGTAGAGCAGCCATGTGGTTGGAGAGCAGAGGCCAGTTTGGTTGCAGGTGTGTTAGTTTTGGGCAAAAGAGTTAAGGCTGTGCCATTTGCACCAGCTCTGGAGCCTCGTGTGACCCCCTGGAAGTGCTCGTTTACTTGGAGGTTGCAGCAACATTTTTAGTTGTTATTTATCCTGCAGGAAAGAAAAGCCAGACCTCACTGCCAGGCTTCACAAAGGCCAGATTGATGATGCCGACATCGACAAATGAACATACCATGGCAGCCTGGTCATTCGGCTCAGGTTCACTTGAAGTTCAAATCCACTCCACACTGTAGTGCTGTACCCATCTCATCCATCTCTTGTCTGTCTGTTTTTCTGCTTGTAATTTGTTCTGTAGTTTTCTGTGACATCCATTTATAGCTTCTCCTGTGGCTCAGTGGTCACGGCAGGTAGGCAGGACCTGTCTGCAGCCGTGCATTCCTCATAGCTTTGGGATGAGAGCTGACCTTCCCTGTTCCCAGTGGAGGAGTGAGGGCTGCGGGCAGTGCAGAGCAGCCAGCACAGTCTGCAGAGCTCCAGGGGCAGTGCCTGCCTCTGGAAGGTGGAGAGACCACTGCCAGGAGCCCTTCCTCAAGCTGCCTGTTCCTGTGTGAGGGCAGGGCTGCCTGCACAGCGGCCGGGGGGCTCAGGGAGGAGTGGGTTCTGAGAGCGCCGAGCCCTGCACTCGGTGCCACACTCCCTGGGTATGCCTGGGAAAATGGGGGCAGAGCTTTGAGTCCCTTCTGTGAGATTTAGCTTAGAGATAAAATTGGTGCTTTAATGTTTTAACCAACTGTTAGGTTTGCTCAGCTGCCTTGGAGATAGTGAGCTCAGCCTGCTTTGCAGTGACCTACAGGAGACACTGGGTGCTTGAAACACTGGCAGGACATGCGGCTGGACAGGCATCTACATCTTCAGCACATATTTGTAGTTACTTCTTCTCTGACACTGGGCCAGCAAAGCTGCTTAGGGGTGCACCTGTGAAGAACCTTGAGAGGTGAGTTTGCTCTCCACAGTGCGATCCTGCACCATGGCACTGCAGGGACGCCCTGTTCCAAATGCACGACAGGGCAGGTGCATTTCCTCTGGGCAAATGCAGTCAAGGTATTTTGAGCAAGAAGCTGCAGCTGCTGAGAGCCAGCTGAGCTCTCAGCCCTGCTAACCACAGGCTGGAAAACTGGGTGATTCCAAAAGGGAGAGGGCTCAGAGCCAGTGCTTGAAAGCACAGTGAGACACACAGTGCAGGGTGGTTGACTGTCAGCTTCTCAATCCACTGCTCAGAGGAAGCTTTTTTCATTGCACCACTGAGTTCCCAAGATCCAGAGTGTCAGGTCAGCATTTCCATGGGCAAGTTTTATTGGCTATTCCATAACTTTTGTACTCCCAGCAGCTCACTGCAAGGCTGGTCCTTGCATCCTCGCAGTGAGTCCTCCATGGTGGCAGGTACCATGGCCAGTATGAGCATCTCTCTGCATCTTCCTCCCTGTCCGAAATGCGACTGTGGAAGTATTGGCCCAGGCAATAAATGTTCAGGGAGCCTGATGCGGATGTTGTCTGGCTGTGGAGAAGTCTTCTGGAACACAAGGGGAGGGGATGAGTCAGTGGAAAGCAACAGAAGTGGATTTGCAGAGCTTTACCAGATGTGCTTGGCTACCTTGCCTGAATTTGTAGAACAAAACTGCTCTCTAGGTAGTTCAGTCTTGCGGCTGATGGAGAAGTTAGTTTGCCAAATTATCATATATCTGCAACAGAGACAGAAAAGCAGCAATAAGGGGTTTGCTTACTGTAAAATACACCTTCTGATGTGAATTTGTAGTGACATGCTGCCTCCTGGATTCCCCACAGCAAGAAGCTGGTCACGTGCCAAGGTGACTCGTGCCCACCCAGGCCGGGCTGTGCTGTCTGCTGTGTTAACCATAGAAAGGCAAGAAATTAGAACAGAAAGTGACGTAGAGTGTGAACTTTGTGATAAAATTCAAGTGTGAACAGTTGTAGTGGGTGTGTCCCCTGTGGGAGCACCTCGTAGCTGTAGTTCCGTAGGAGTGAACTTTGTCAGACTTTTCCTGTGGCTGTCCCTGCGTGTGCCTGCAGTGTTTGTCAGAGGATCCCTGGGAGCCTCCTGTGCAGTGAGAAGTTGCTGGTAGTCTGTAGCCTTGGGCTTGTTTGGTTTCACACCCACCACTGCCCCCTCAGTGTTCTGAGCTCTCCAGACTGAACGTGCACACTGCTGAGCCTGGAGAATTCCCTGAATGGGCAGGCACGTGCCAGGCAGATGCTAGTGGCAAGGGCATGCATCTGCTGACCTTGGAATCTCCTCTTCCATGGGGCCCTGAGATCTCCTGGGGTAGGGAAATCAGGATGTGGTGCCTGCAGAGCTGGCTGGTCCCATGCTGGCCCTCACCTCCCTGCTGCCCCCAGGGTGACGAAGGGTCTGTCTCCCCAGATGTGCCCGTGGCCTCTCCCACGACAGCCCCAGGAGCCCAGAGAGGTGTTCCCACTCCTCCTGAAGGGCAAGCATGTCTTGCTACATGCAGATAATTACCTCAGCCTTGGAGCCTTGACTAACAGCCGGGAATCCCTCCCAGCAGTGGGAATCCTGGCAGGGGCAGCCCAGCAGTGCTGGTGTCAGTCATCCCGAGCCAGATCCCCCTGGCTGTGGTGCAGGGAGGAGGGGAGGCTGCTCCCCTGCTCACAAACAAGCTCAGTGAGGTGCTGCTCAGTTCATTCACCACAGGGAAACCAAACACTTTGGATATTCTGGTCATTTGTTATGAAATTGTTTCCTAACAGCAACAGATTTAAATGTCATCATGCAAATGGCAGAGAAGAACCTTTTATGCAGTTGCAAAGTGGTTTTCTGAGATGGTTGGGTTATTGAAAGTGATTTTACTGTGCATTAATCTTATGAATGTTACTATGTTTTATATTTATTTTAGATGACCCTCCTGTATTTTACAAAGGGAAGTTTCATTCTGTGATAACTCAGTCTGTATTCTTAATATAATTTGTTAAATGAAACTTGTTTTAATCAGTTTATTCTCTGTGCTTTGTGTTTTAATTTTCTGACTGAAATAGCTACCTGGATTGGAGTGGTGAATTGCAGGGGTGGCAGCACAATCCCCTGTAGGGAACATGCTCTTGGTTTGGGTTTTTTGTTCTTGGAAATTGGATATAAAAAGCCTTGGAGAATCTGTCTAAAATGTCTTGCTCCAAAGGTATGCTGCAAAGTCAAAAATAGAAGTCAACCTAGCTCAATTTAAGTGTTTTATGGGGCAGGACGGGGCAAAACCTGGCAAAACCAGTCCTTGGCACAGGGATGGTGCCCGTGGCAGTGAGGGCAGCGCTCGGCTTGGGGCAGTGCCCATCCCGTCAGCTCTGCCCACGGCCACCTGCTCTGGGCTGCGGTGGCCACGCTGGCATCACTGTGGGCAGGTGGGCACCCCCACGGGGGAATTGGCTGCTCAGCCAGGGAGAGGCCAATACCACACCACTACACTGAAAATTCTTATTCTTTATGCTAAATTATTCTTCTGAACTTGACCCCAGCTGGTGGTGCACAGTCTGACCTCTGGCATCTTCTCACCCCAGCCAATATTTCTGTCTCACTTATTTTGAGTGGTCTTTGAATTAAGGGAGATTAATACCCGAGTTCCCGACATTCTCTTCAGGCACATGTTTTTATAACCTTTTGAAAGCAGTACCACTTGTTCCACCGAAAACTGCAGCAGCGTCCTGGAGCTGCCGTGGGAGCCGTCACTGGCACCTGATTGAATGTTCCACCTGGGGAGGAGGTGGTGTGGGGAGGACATAAACCAGAGTGGGCCCGTCCCACGCCAGCCTGTGGCTTCCTGGGGTGGCAGGTGGGCCCAGAGCTGCCCGGAGCCATCGCTGTGCTGGTGGGGCCTGCGAGCATCTCCATCCATCTGCCTGCTCGGCTGCTGCCCCTGGACACGGGCTCAGTCCTGGGCACGGGACACTGCTGGGGCTGCAGGCCCAGTGCCTGGGAATGCTGCTGAGCTTCCAGGCCCACTGGCCAGGAGGACCCTCATCCTCCAACATGGGGTGGGACAGGAGCTGGCTCACATCATCCATCGTTCACGGAATTTGGTTTCTAAGGAAAATTTCTAATTTCTTCTGCTCTGCTTAGTGTTTTCAGCCGTGGGAGTGGCCATTCCTTTCCATTGAGGTGTCTCCTGGCCACTCCTGCCCCCAGGGAAATCCTCCCAGTGCCCAAGGGGAGCAGCCCATGTGGGACTGGAGCTGGCTGGTGTGGTCCCTGCAGCATCAGAAGGTTGTGTCAGGCTTTGTGTGCCAGTGGCTTTGGTGGTGTTTGTTTTCTTTTCTCCTCTCCCTCCTACAGCTTTAAAAATTAACTTGCCTGGGGAGTTTTTTAAAATCCTTTCCTTTCTCTGGAATGATGGATAAGCCATGTAACTGATTGTCACGGCCCTAGAGAGGATAAACATCTTCTGCAGTTTAAAATAAAACCTCCTCACTCCTTGGTTAATAAGTGTTGAAAGAAGCACAAACAGAGCTAACATGGGATTTCCATGACTAACAAGATGACCACATCAGTGAATGTTGTTTGGGGTTAAAAATGACTCAGCTTTTGCTTCCCCTGGGTAAGATGTTTTATCCCAGTGCAGCAGGAAAAGCTGCCAACAGCACTTTGAAGCTCTGGCAAACCCGACGGAGCCGGGATTGGGGACTGGGAAGTGTTTGAATGCCTGGTTAAAAAAACCCTCCTAAACTCAGCTCCATGTGTGTGGATTTCTGGAAGATAAAGGAGCCCACAGCTTCATCCAGCCTGTGCTGACTCTTTTCTTTTCAAAAGCCTTGTCAGATGTTTTCACTTTTCTGCTTGCTTTGTTGAAAGATGTAAAAATTTAAGACAACCACAAAGTAAACATTTCAAAACTTTCTATTCTGAAAATTAATGACATTTTCAAAATCCCTTGAATTCCATTTCAGCACTATCAGAAATGAAGATGTTTGGGGGTTTTTTGATTGGCAAATTTTCCAGGCAGGTTTTTGTTTGTTGATAACTTTTATTTTTCAAGGAAAATAGATTTATTATTCAGTAGAAACACTAGATAAGTAGATGTCTTGTCAAAATCAAGCAGGTTTTCTTTATTAGAGTGAAATAGTAATGAACTCATCTGCTTCCAATATTTATAAAGAGTAGAGAAGGCCATTAATTCTGCTGCTTGTGAATAAAACCATCTGTGATTTCTTTCCATTTGATGTGTTTTGGTTTTAATATACATTTTTCACAAATAAGTGCAGGGAATTTTTGTGAAAATGTCACATTCAGAATCTCATAAAGAAGGAACGCAAGGAGGGGGAAACGAAATGTTTTGTTAGCTAAGTAATTTCTCACCTTGCACAGACAGTAAAATTCCTGCCAACTTTAACACATTAGGCGACAGAATTACATGTTCAGCTCTAATGCGATCCATGACATGGAACAAGGCAAACAGAGGATGTTTGGAAGTTTGTTTTCCTTTGGGAATCACACAGCACATTTAACCTAATCTGTCCTGACACTTGAATTATAACATTATGAGCTTCTTCAGGGAAGCAAAATGGTAGATGCCTCTTTTTAAAGTGAAGCAGAAGTTAATAAAACAGGCGACATGTCAAGGAGAAAAAGCCCGAATGAACCATTGTGTGATTCTCAGAGGAAACGGGCTCTGGGCTGGGGTTTTTCCACCAGAAGTGCTGGAAGTCTCGTGACACACTTCTGCCGAGGGTGAAATTTGACCTCCAGAATTTTACTCGATTAAACCGAAAGCTGCGAGAATGCCCCAAGTGGGACCACTTTGTAGTTGGACTTGTGAGTGTGGGCTCTTAAACTGAGTATTCATCCAGCTGCTCTGCCAGGAATTGTTTCAGTTTCCCACCAACTCGTGCGATGGAGGCTGTGCTGTGCTGCTCCTTTCCTAAACGGTACCTGTGCAGGTGAAGGAGTTGCTCCCAGCCAGTACAGCCCAGCCCACCCTCCAGGGCAGCCTCTTTGAGGGGCTGGAATGGGAACGGGACTGTAAATGTGATCTGCTCACTGGGTGTCACTGAGAAAGTCTGGCTCCAGTTGCAGGTTTTAAGGCTCAAATTTAGTGTCCATTGTCCAGCAGGATGGAAGCAGATCCTCGGAGGTTCCTGCAAGTGAAGAAACCTGAAATCAAATAGCAGATGTCCTCACCCAAAGTCCAGAGCTCTGGGTGCTACAGAGCAAGGCAGGCACTCTCCTGGGGAGGGAAAACTGATGCCAGTTATCTCTGAAAAAATGAGTGAACTGATTCTCAGCTTCCTGTTGTCAGAGGTAGGAGGGGGCTGCGCTCTTCTCTCGGGAGTTTTCACGTCAGTGCCAAGCAGGTGAGCCTGCTCACTGGTTTGCTTATAGTTTATAGTTTTATAATTTAATCTGGTGTGGAACTAGAAAGATAGTAATCGTCCCAAACATTTTTTTCATCAAATTGAACAGCACTGTCAGCTGGGCAAAGAAACAAAGTCTGATTTTCAACTTCAGAAAGGTTTACAGGCAGTTTCCAAGCACAGGGCTGTGCCTTGGCTGGGGCTGGGTTTGGGTGGGTTTGTGCAGGCTCCACATTGCTGGCCTGGGCTGTGCTGAGCGCTGGGGAGGGATGCACTTCCCTGGCAATGGACCCACAGCCCTCCATGGGCCCCTCCCCTCAGACAGAAGCACCAAAATGCTGGGTTTAAATGGTAATAAAGAAAATTCACACTGGATATTAAGGAAACTACCTAAAGGGGAAGCATGTGAGGCCCAGGAGGGCGGTGTCCATCAGTCTTTGCCAAATACGTGTTGGGAGCAGGGGAGGTGAGGCTGAACCTCAACAGTGCCCAACACCACGTCCCTCCTGCAGCTCTGCCTTTCCTCAGGGAGCACACCAGTGGCAGTTCCTACACTCATGGCAAAGGGTTGGAATTTGGGTTGTCTGGGTTTGCTGGGAGCTGGGGGAAGGCGCCTCCCAAGGAGCCCAAGAAGCTGATGTGCCAAAAGGTCATCTCAGGTTAATTCCCTGCCAGGGGAACACTCCAACCAGGAGTGTCTGAACACTGTCCTCATTCAAAACCAGGCAAGAAGCCCATGGTAGCTGTTCCTGGGGTGTCCTACAGGAGCACAGCAGGAGTTCATCGTGATGCCTCAGGCGAAAAGCAGAGGGCGTGAGGTGAGCAGAGGCAAGTGGAGGGGAAGGGTAAGAGTGACTGGGCTGGCTCCTTGCCAGGGATGGTCGTGGTGGTCGCTATTCTATAGTGACAAATATATTCCCACTGGTTGGGAGAAAGCTGTTGTGTCCATGGGCTGGGCCAAGGGCCAGCAAAACCCAAGGAGTACGAACTTGGGGATAAATGAGGATCCATTTCACAAGTGTTGGAGGCCACAGAGATGGCTTCCTGCAACTTACTGTGCCCTGAATTACACAAAGACTTTCTGTCCATTCCACCTACACGTAGTCCTGTTCCCACAGTCCCCAGCAGTGACCTGTCATGAGTGGCAGAAGCCAGTTGATGTACTCAAAGCCCTTAATGCAAACTTTTCCCCCGTTCTTTTTCTAATTCCTTTTTCTGCCCAAATGCCTACATATATGAAGCTTTTAGGAACTTAATTATCCTTGAGACTTCTACCTCTTTGTGAAATCTGGTTTAAATCAGTAAAGAAAAGAGTTCAAAGTTATTGGGCAGGACAGGCAGACAGACAAGCACACAGGGATCACAGGAACCTTGTTTTCATAGGAAACTAGATTAAAAAAATCCCACAGCGGTTACCAGCCCCTTCAGTGGCACCCCCCCCCCTCAGTCCGGCACAGGGTGATGCTTGGGGGGGGGCTGGGGCACAGGCAGCCTGAGTTTGTGCTCTTTGCAAAGGGGAGGGGGCTGGGAGCAGATCCTGCCTCCTTCAGCCGGGGTTTGGTGGGCGGTGTCGGGGGCAGCAGCGATTCCGCAGCCTGTCTGCTTTTCCCAGCTGGATGCAGATTCATGACATCCCTGCTCACTTTGGCATGCAAACCTGT